GCCAGTGATGTGGAACATTTTTTTCAGGTATTTATTTGCCTATTATATTTCTTCCTCTGAGAAGTATGTATTCATCTCACATGCCCATTTTGGACTGGGTCTTTAAATTTTGGGGACCTAATTATTTTGACATCTTTATATATTCTAGATAGAAGACTTTTGCCTGAGTGATTATTGGTTAAGACTTTTTCCAAATTTGTGGGTTGTCTTTTCACTCTGTTGGTAATTTCTTTTGCCATGCATAAACTTCTCAATAAAAGAAAAGTCTTGTTGTTAATTCATTGAAGCATTTCCTGTGCAGTTTTATTTTTGTTCATGAACTGTTTCATTACCCCTATAGCTTCAACACTTTCACCTATTTTCTCTTCCAGTAGATTTAGTGTTTCTGTTTTAATGTTTAAATCTTTAATCCATTTTGACTTTAGTTTAGTGCATAGTGATAGACCCAGGTCTAGTTTTAGATTTTGGTACGTAGAAATCCAGTTTTTCCAGAACCATTTGTTAAAGAGCCTATCTTTCCTCCAGTGAACATGTTTGTCCCCTTTGTCAAAGATAAAATGGATGAGTGTGTTTGTAGTTGTGTCTACATATTCTAACCTGTTTCATTGATCCTTGGGCCTTGGGTTTTTGTTGTTGTTGTTGTTTGTTTGTTTGTTTGTTTGTTTGTTTGTTTTGCCAGTACCATGCTGATTTTATCACAGTAGCTTTGCAGTATAATTTCAAGTCAGGGATTGTAAGTCTTCCTGCCTTGCCTGTGTTGCCCAGGATGCCTTTGCCATTCTAGTTTTTTTCTGGCTCCAAATAAATTTTAGGAATGATTTCTCTAGGTTTGTGAGGTATGTTGGTGGTATTTTGATAGGGATTGCATTAAATCTGTATAACCATTTTGGGAATATGTTCATCATTATAGTGTTGGTCCTTCCTATCTAGGAGCAAGGAATATCTTTCAATTCTCTAAAATCCTCTTTGATCTCTTTTTTTCAGAGTACTATAATTTTCATTCAATAGATCTTTTACTTCTTTAGTTAGATTAATTCCTAGGTATTTAATTTTTGTGGGAGCTAGTGTAAAGGATATTGTTTCTCTAATTTCTCTCTCTGTGTTTGTTATCTGTGTAGAGGACTGCTGTTGATTTTTGGGTATTGACTTTGTAACCTACTGTGCTACTGAATTTGTTTATTAATTCTAGGAAGTTCTTGGTGGAGTTTTTTGGATGTTCCAAGTAGACTATCATGTCATCTGCAAATAATGATAGTTTAACTTCTTTACCTATTCATACTCCTTTTATTTCTCTCCCTTGTCTAATGGCTCTAGATAATGATTCCAGGTCTACAAGTTCAATCTCATCCAGCTGGGCCTCTGCAGTCTTGGTTCCACACCTGGCCTGTCCACTGAAGGTTCCAGTGCCTGGCCCCACACCATGTCTGTCCACTCTGTCTTTTGATTTTCTATTTTCCATTTCATTGATTTATATTCCAATATTTTTGATAAATAAAAATACATATATTTAATATGTATAATGTGATGCTTGGATTTGGCCTAATTTTTAAGAATTTCTTTTCTTCTGCTTACTTGAGATTTACTTTGTTCCTTCTTTTCTAGTTTCTTAAGGCATAAACATAGATCATTGGTTTTAGACCTTCTATTCTAACACAAGCATTCAATCCTCAAAATTTCCCCAATTTTGATAAACAACATTTTGATGTAGCCTAAAATATTTTTCTAATTTAGAGGTTTCTCCTCTGACTTTTGCGTTAAGTGTATGTTATTTAAAATAGATGTACTTTGGAATTTACAGTTATTCTGTTGATATCTACCTTAATTCTATCATGTTTGAGAACATTGTTTCTTTTAAGATTAAGGTGTTTTAATGGTCTATAGTACAATATATCCTGGTGAATGTTTCATGTGAACTAGAGAAGAATGTATATCCTGTTGATGGATGACATCCTATGTAGACTTAATGAATGCCAGTTAGTTGATGGTGTTTGTTGAACTCAAATATATCCTAACTTATTTTCTTCCAGGTGGATTTGTCCATTTTCTGATGTGGTGAGTGAAGTTCCCAGTGATGCCAGTGGACTCACCTCTTTCTCTTTGTATGTTTTTATTTTTTTATTCCATGTATTTTGATATTGTCAGGCATATACATCCTAAGGATTATTATGTCTTCTTAGAAAATTGACCATGTTATCATTAGTAACCTTCTTTATCTCTTATAATTTGCCTGCTGCTTGCTGAATTAATGTAATTACTCTTAATTTGCTTTGCTTGATGCTAGCATCATGCGTCATGTTTGTTCTAATTCCTTTTAATGTATATGTCTTTGTATTGAAGGTAGTTTTCTTCCACACATCATAATGTTGAATCTTATTTTTTATTCACTTTGAAAGTCTCTTTTAAGCTTAGTCCATATAGACTATTGAAGGTCAATGTGGTTATTGATATTGTTGGGTCAATATCTATCATATGTATTGCTATTTTCGATTTTTTTCTTCCTTGTCCTCTGTTCCTACTTCTGTCCTTTCCTGCTTTTAGTAGACTAAATTGAAAATTTTATGATTCTATTGCCTTTTTGAGAAAATCAACTCTATTTTCATGTTTTTTAGTGATTGTCCTAAGTTTTTAATATGTATGTTCTACTAATTTCAAATACTAGTATACTACTTTATAGGCAGTGTACCTTATCATTAATAACATAAACAGAAGCCTTCTTTCTGATTCTTGCATCCTTAATGCCATTCATTTCATCTACATAAAAAATTTTTGTGAATATGCAATTAATGAAATACATTGTTGATATCATTACATAGGTACTATGGCTCTAGCATTAACCTACCTTTCACAAACACCCTCCCCTGGGTCTCAGTTTCTTCATTAATAAAATTAATCTTTTCTATTCTTAAAAATCCATTTGTACAGTGATAAAGTATTTTGATGGAATCACCATACTCAAAGCCATGATCTATAAGACACTGTGCCTAGATTTTCAATAACAGCAATGAAAAGAACTACATATAGGCAGGACACCAAGAGCAAGATCACATAGAAAGCGAGAGATGAAGCATAACCCTAATCCTTTCTCTTGTTTTCATGTATTACATATAGCTCATGAGCTATCTCTGAAGAGCCCTATCTAATAAAATACGATAGTAATTGTATTTTACAATATTAAAATACAATAAAATGAACTCTAATAAAATACACATAAAGTTTGACTTCCTCATTTCACCAAGGAAAAAACTGATATTTAGGCAAATTATCTACCTCAAACCATGGATAACATGGGTGAATATGAATGTCCAGATAGATTGCTTTCATATCAACATTTCTATGTTACATCTACTTAATGTACTCCTATGCTTATGTTCATAGCTGGAGACCATCATGTATATACTGGTCACATTTTCCCTTTCACATTGCCTCATGCTAAACTTGCCTGCAAAATATTCTTACAATTTGCTAGTTAAATAACATAAGTAAAATACTAAAATTGAAATACACAGGATAGGACTCATTCTATAATTGATGGTGATGGCTTGGCTCTGCCCCATTCTGTGTGAGCTTTGTAAGGAGATTTCTTAGAGTTCTGCTTCTTCTAAGCTCCATGAGTATACAGAATTATCCATGAATATTGCTACCTTCTTTTGGGAAAGTTGCAGTCAAGGGCACATATTTAAGATTAAATAATGTTAAACAAGCAGCAAAGCCTTCATATTTAAGATCAATAACAGGATATTTTTAGTTCAAGTTATGTATAAGAAATAACTTTATAGATGTCAGCAAGAGTTTTCCAAATAAATATGTGGGTTTACTCAACTAGCATCTTAAGAAAAGACAGTTGAACTTTCTGCAATATGTTACTATCACACGGGCTAAGCCTTAGAGCAAATAGGTCATTGAGGATAAGCTGTTAATTCTGCTATAATAGTTTCAGGGTAGCTGTATTGATCACAGCGGGCTATTTCTAACGTTCATAGGTAAATAGGAATGAAGAGAAATGCAAGAAACAGGAGCAGTACTTCCAAGGGAACTGGTAGATTGGTGGATTTTTACCTCTTTTAATACTACAGTATTGTTAACCTTGGAAATGAAGCTATTTTGTACACAGTAAAATGACACACTCAAAATCATAAAAAAAATTAGCTAGTCTTATTTTGACAATTTGTCAACAATTTGCATTGTTGTATGTTATCCTGTTTCTGTTTTTGATTCTGCTATTTGTTTTTGCTTTTTTTTTACTATTCAAAATTAAATTAAATTAAATTTTAAAATTCTTAAAAGATATAGAAGAGCAAGGTGGCATCTTAACTTGCCTCATTCCTTTACAAATTTGTCACGAAGACCAGTTTCCATGTTGGGTTTGGACAACTTGCGCTATTCTACCTCTTCCTTGAATTCAATAAGCAAGAATTTGTCTCATCCCTTTTGGCCAAAAAAAAAAGTCCTGCTATTTCCACTCTCCCTTAACTTCCTACATGGTTCAGGAAATAATCATAGAGCTGTAATGACTGGAGTCCAGTAAAAATTGCATTAATTTCAGTGGATTACTGCTCTGGTTTTACAGAGCACTCACATAGAAGGATATAGATAATCTAAAGCCTTAATTTGTTTCTTCCTACATATGTATTTAAGGTTCTTCTGCCTTCAGTATTATTATGTTCCCTTTAGTATTTTTACTATCTTAATTTTACAGATGACAGCATGGTAGTTGAAAGATGTAATGTTAGTGATTCATAATCACACTCTTATTCACTGTAAATTCAGCCACTAAAATAAGATTTCTGTCTCAAATTTTCATGCTTTCTATTCATAAAGGAAGTAAAAGCAAAATAACCAAGACAGAAGCCAGTACATGAAGAGGTTATGCAAGCTTTTCTCCTATTTGTAGGCTATCTTATATTTAAAATACTTATTTGGAAAAAATGGTGTGGTACCGAGTCTCACAGGTCATACTTTTGTCACCAAGTTCTTCGTGTCCCTCTCCCCCAATGACTTGCCCTGTAACTGATGTCCTCCAAGAGAGCAGATGTGCCCACAGGACAGTTTGCTTGCCACAAGGTTTCCTTGATGCTGCAGCCATAAATGAACACATTCTTCTTCTGGGAGTGACCATGAAAATCACAGAAGACCTACAACAGTCAAACGAAAGGGAAATAAATCCAGGTCAGATTTGCTGGTTTTTCAAACATTGAAAATATCAGTTCTCTAAGGTGGCTACTATTTACTCCAAAAAAACTAGCTCCATGAGGGCAGTGGGTGATTTTAGCAAGAGCTGTATTGGTAGAGTTATCAGAAAAGACTGTAGATTGTAGGTATCTTAGAAGTGAACAAAGTAGAAGCAATGTGAGGCATGAATACCCTTGATTGAGAAATTTACTGACTGGGAAGAGACAGGGTCAAAGCTGAAAGATAAAAATAGGAAAAAAAGACATTTTAAAATATATATGAGAGGTTTGAATAATTAAAAAAGTCAACAAGAAAAAAGCATTTTAAAGCAATACATTAAATATGTAAAAGAGAAGTTAATAAATCACTATAAGTTCTCCCTAGATTTTGATGTGGTAAAGAATGATCACTAAAATTCAATGGATTGTCCAATGAAGGTTTATTTTTTATTCATGCTATAGATCAGCTGGGACAATGCTCAGCATGGCTTCATTCTTTGGTTCAACTACATAAAGAGCCCTAACTTGGAACATGCCATTTTTGCGGCAAATAAAAAAAAAAATGTCAAAGGTAGAATTATGTGATGGCTATGAAGTCTTCCACAGAAGCAAAAGAAATCTCGTATCTATTTTTTGGGACCATGACTCAAAGAAAGGCAAGCAGCCATTCTTCTCAATGGAGAGTAGAGTGTATTTTGCTGTGTAAATCATGTGAAAAAGGACAGTGATACAAAATCATATTACTACAAAGTGAGATGTTAGTCATTTTTAATTGAAAAGGTATCAACAATTTTTTTAATTTATTAATAATGTGTATAGTGCATAATGTTCACATTCCTTTGGGGAAGCTGGTACATGTATGCAATACATCTTAATTCTTTTTATCATCCATTTTTTCCTTTCCCTCCCATCTCTCAATTTCCTTTCTCTTTTTTTTTATTTTTGGACATGTTTGCGATACATGATGTTTACCTTCCTTGGGTGGTGCTGTACAAGTACATTACACAGCCTAATTCTTTATTTTATTTATTTATTTATTTTTGATACTGGGAATCAAACGCAGGACCTTGTGCCTGTTGGGCAGGCCCTGTGCCACTGAGCTACATCCCCAGACCGCAATTTCTTTTCTTCGTCCCTTATCTCTTCCTTGTCTCCATTCTCCAGTCATCTCTTGATTACCTTCTTCTCTGACAGTGATCTGTCTCCCTACTTCTTATTATCTATCTTTTATTTTGCACTTTATTTTTACTCTGAGTTTCTAAGAAAAACAATTTGATTTTCAAGCTTGTGTGTCTGACAGGCTTGAAAATTTATTTCAGTTAATGTTATGGTTTCAAGGAGCATCCACTTCCTACAAATGACTCAAATTGAACCACAAAATTTTAGGGACCCTGTCTGCAAGGTCTTTTGCAATGGCCTATGTGCCCTCATTATCAAGAAGGGGAGTATGCTTCTTCATACATTGATTCTGAACTTAGCTGTGTGACCTCTTGGTCAGTGAGAACAGACAAATACAATGTGAGCTGAGGTTAGTAAAATGCTTGTGCTTACATTATTGGCTGCTGTGATGTCCCAGGGAACACTGAGCCAATTTCCAAGTGAACGAGCACAGACCAGCCTGCTGGAGGATGTCCCTGCTAACTTGGCTGATGCCAGGTTTGTCTCACAGCACACAGTTGGGCCAACCTAACACTGACCCAAGGAATCATCCAGAATCAGGAGAAATAGTGCATAGTTTATGTCAGGGTGGCTCATTGTCCAACAAAATCTATATGTTAAACTCATGTGTCCCTTTAGTCTAAGATGTGCCTCCCTCCATTCCTCATGTACAACACACAAATCTCCTCCCCAAGAAATGTGCACTTAGGTCCTATTCTGACACCAATGTCAGACTTTCTGGCCAAGATCTCATCATAGTTCCTATATTCTGTGTGTGCTTTCTGAACCCTGAACAAAACAGGAAAGCCTTCTGCTTAACTACATCCAAGGTTTTGAAAAGGATCAGAATTGACAACAAACCTCTTACTTAGAAGGGATGAACAGGAGGATCAACAAAATCATTTGTCGATAGCAGTACTGAAGTACAAACAGAGAGCTCTGAGATGTTCCTACCTCTTGCATGTAGGGCCTGTGGGTTCCTAGGCTCCAGTCTTACTCCCTAGCAAAAGTTTTCCAATATTAACTTTCTCCATAACTCTTCAATTTTAAATTTTAATTTTTAATATTTATTTATTTATGTATGTACAGGGTCTCACTACACAGCTCAGACTGCTAATGACCCTCCTATATTACCCTCCCCAGTCATCCCTGGTTTCGGCTGGCATTGCATACCTGGTGTTCCCAAGACCAGCACGGCATGCAGTACCAGAAATCAAACCTGGTCTTTGCACTAGCCAGGGAGGCTCTTAGACTGTCTATCTATCTCCCCAGCCCTTTTACATAACTCTTGATCTTCCTTGATAAGTGTTTGCTTTTCCATTGTCCTTGCCACTTGTGAAAAAGGGATTTAAAATTTTGAAAATGAATTCTATTTTAAGGCCAAACATCTCCACTTGCTGATCCTGTGATACAGAATTTTGAGAGGCCAATGTTTGATTAGGGTTTTTTTTTTAATTAATTTTATTGAGAAACAAATTGTAATGTGATAGCTTCAAAATAGGTTGGTAGGAGAATTACAACTAATACATTGCATACTGCTGTCTTTGTAGTAGTCACTCATAGCACAAGATGCAGACATGATATCCTGTACAAACACTATTAGTACAGATCTTTCTTCTTATTGCATTAAAAAATAGCTATATATCTATCCTAACTATTTCATATGTACAGATACAAAATGGTCCTTCATATATATCACCTTTTTTTGTTCAGTTTTGTCAGAGATGGGTATTCCATTGCCATCCAAATATTGTAGGTGCATGAATTCAGCAAAATATTCCAATATAGTCCAGTAGTTCCCAATAGTAGTGGGTTATCCGCAGGACTGGCAATGTCCGAATCTGATGACTTGATCCTTCCACAGCTCAGCATATTAACATAGTTTAACTTTTCATACCTTGTTTCTACACTTTTCTGCTGGATGGTTAAGACCAAGATAAAACAAGACCTATATAACAAAAAATGTAACTTTTTTAGCTGACATGATCAGTCAATTCCCCTCAGGACTTATCCCAAAACCCTGTACCACAGTCTGTAGATCTTTTATCAGTGTCAGCCATGTGGATGAGTCATGGCCATTACTTGACCAATTTGCTCTCTGAGAGCCTGAGAGGATGTTTGATTCGATTTCAAAACATCACACTCTCTTTGAGTCTCTGCACTGTAAAAGTGTAAAAATAAAACACATGAAGGTAAAAATAAAATAATTTTCTTTTTCTCTTGATCTTAAGTTCTCTTAAATATAATGGTCAAAACAAACAAAATAGTAGCTATACAGATATTATGATAAAATATGTAAAAGTAAGTATATCAACTTAATAGCACAAAATATAAAAAAAAATAAATTGGTACCACTGTGATAAGGCCATTAAAGTATTCATGTACAAATCAGAAAAGATATAAAAATCTAGGATCAGATTAAACAAACATAATATAACCAAAAAATGATTTACTTAAACTGAAATATGTAAATAATCTCATTAAATATCAATGGTCAAAATGCAATAATTAAAAGAGGATAAATAAGCAATATCCCATATATACTGTCTCTAAAAAGTTAATTTTAAATATAAGAATATAGGTTTAAAGTAAAAATTGGAGAAAATATTTGTAGTTCAAACCCTAAACAAAAGAGAGGTGGCATAGCTCTATTAACTACCAGAACAAAAGTATTATCAAGGATATAAAAAGATACAAAGGTTAATGCATTAATCTTGCCTTTGGCGGTTGTGTTATCATTACTGTTTCTTTCAAAAGTCTTGACACTCCCATCTTAAAAGAGAGTTCGTTTTGGCTCATGACTTAGAGATTGAGTCCACAGTAGGGTCACTCCAAGAGACAGATGTGGTGGGAGGGTCTGGTGAATGAAGGCTACACTCACCCCACAGCACCCAGCAAGCAAAGAGAGAAGGGAAGATCCAGCGGAAATAACACTGCCATCCAGGTTACACCTAACTCTTTAGATCAGGCCCCACTTCCAAACATTAGAGATGTGAGGGGCAACATTTTAAAATATGACCATCGCAGTACGTAAGTACTACCCCCTAGTCTCTGTGAAAATTAAAAACTCTACTCAATGGAGGTATAGACCACTCCTGGCTAGTGTATTTCTCACTGCTCTAGAGGAGATTACGTCTTGAGAGCTGTCTCATGAGCAGTACTTTTTCCCACCTTCCGAGGCTAAGTAGTCTCCTCACACTGCACAAAGGAACCTCCTGTATCTCACCATATATAAACTATTGTCAAGTACAAAGATTCAGCAAAGCAATCAATTAAGTCGTTAGTTAACCTCCAGGTGCTTAAGCTGCTAAAGAAACTTTAGATCACATATTCTTGTCAACAAAATCAGCTAAAATCCAGCAGTAGTGTATTCTGTCCTTATTAGCAAAACACCTTTAGTATACATTACTAAATATGTTGCCCAGGTTTTGAAAATTATATA